TAAAAAAAATTTCAAATGAAATTCATAAATCTAAAAAAAAAAAAACCTTGCTCTGCCGAGTGTTCATTTCTTCACGTTGTTCAGCCAACTTGTCTAGTTTCTTTCGAGCTTCTTTCAACTCGTTATCGTATATCATATACTCTATAGATCTACAAAATAATGATTTTGAGATTAATATTATTTAGATTTTAGTGTCTGCAAAAACCAATCTGAAAACACAAAAAAAAGTAGACTAATCAACAAATAGTCAATTCAACAGTTTACTATTGAACTAGAAAGATGCATTAAGTTCGAGGACAGAACGAGAAAAATAGAATAACCTTTTCATTTTGTCCCACTTCTGATATTCCTTTAAGTCTTCTTTCTCTTCCTCTAAAGTCTTTAACCGTTCCTCAATGAATGCAAGTAAAGTCTCGATTTTTTCACTTTTGGCATCTGCAAAGAATTCTCCACTTATCGAAAAAATTAAAAAAAACCAATTTAACATAAGACAAAATTAAGTAATACAGACTTGTTTCTCGCAATATTTTCAAACTTTCATCTTTCCGTTCATCGTAAACTCGTGTTCCTGCCACCTAAAATATTCCATTCCCTAATTTGAAGAGCAAAACAGCGTCTTCTGAAGAATACAATAGAAGATTACAAAACTAAACAGAAAATTACAAAACTGAATATTTCCAACCTCACGCAATAACTTCAAGCGGTGTGAATCAGGTGATGTAGCTAATTCATTGATTTTTCCTTGCTTTACAATGTAATATGGATTCGAACGAGAGAAGCCCGCCGATTCCATCAAATTCACAACCTAATGATAACAATAAGGTGTTCATAATTTTCGGAAAAAAGAATCGTTACTTTTAAAGAAATTCAAAAAACTGGATGAAGCGATTATAAACTCACGTCACTACGAGCAACCAACTTTGCATCGATAAAATATTGATCCTTCTTCATACTAACACGTCGCAAAACACGCACTTCATTTGCCTCAATCTGAAAGATATGAATTCCATAAAATTCTACGTGTTTGATACAAGTACAAAAACTCGATCTTTGTTACAAATAAAATTATGTTTCCATCGATTTCAATTTCAAAAATGGCAACAAACTCACGGCAACGATTCGGTGATCGGCATTATCGAAAACAATTTCAACACTGGCCGTTGTAACACGATCTCCAGTGCCTTCGTGAATCAAACCTTGCCTTTGTTCTGCTTTAAGATGGCTGAATTCATCCGAAAGCACAAACTGTATAGCTGTAAGCACAGCGATTAGATTTCAAACATTTTCCATAAAAAAATATTTTAAAGTGTTGAAAGTTTAATAAAGATATGTAAATTTTGTGGCAAAATAAAACTGAGTAATAAGCACTTCAGAAGACTCGCGAGTACTAATATCCGAATATTTGCATAAACGCCAGACTAAGCAAGCGTTACCAAATTCTAAAAAGAAGCTATTCCAGTAAACCCAAGATGAATGGATCGAAGGAACACTACAGGAATATGTAAGAGGCTCTTCTTCTCTCTTACAATTCAAACTTTTCTCTTTCTCTTATAGTTTTACTTCGAGTTATCAACTTACCAAAAAAAAAGTTACTCTTTCCACTACCATTTCGTCCAACAACAACATTATGTCGCGGTGAAAAATCATTGACTGTTGTTTCGCGATAACTACGAAATCCACTTATATTTACCTATAACCATCATTCTGATATTAAAGTTTAAAAAGAGTAATATCCTATCCCGACACTAATTTGGGTTAAAAAAGAAAAATAAAGATTAGTAGATCTAAGCCAGTAGTTTATCAAATATATGGTTATAGAGGGAAATAAAGAGAGAAAGAAACATACTTCTTTGATATACATTGTAGAGTAAATCAGTGCGGGATTGGTTAGTAGAAATGATTAACCGTTCATTGAGTATGTACGTGAAGTTTGACCTGAAACATGATTACAAAAAATGATGGCAATTATTCTCGAACCAGTTAGCGCAACATGCATATATTTGTAACTTTCGAACTGGAAAATGTTGCCTACATTTTCCGACCCTGAATGATAATAATAAAACAAGCGCAGAAATCCCTTAAAAACAAACCTGTCTTAAACTAAATAGAACGGTGCATTACTTACCATCACAACGAATACCTTAAATTTAAAATTGTATGTTTCCACATTTACAATATTTAATACGGCCTACCATATATACCGAGATTGAGCTGTAAGCACTGCATTTTCGGACTTAGCCAGTCAGTGTTGTTCGGTTTGTGGGGAGTTTGGTTTAGAGGTTTGGGAGGTTGCTGGTGAGGGGAAATAATGGTTCCAGAGAATAGCAGATACTATTGCAATCAAAGCAATTAGTTGTCAGACGATGCTCTCCAGTACAAGGTTTGGTTTTCTACTTTAGCTCTGTCTAAGGGAAGAGACCTGTAAACAAGGTACCGACACCTGCATATTCTGCTTATTCCCTTCCTCATTATTGCAACTTCGTCTTCTTATTTGTTATTAGATTTATAATATTGTCATTAATGTCAAATGATATTATTATACTATGCTTAATTATCATTAAATTTTCATTTGTTCAGCATTATCAGTTGTTATAGCTATCACTGTCACCATGCATTGACCTGTCTTCAATGTAATAAGCATAATCTAGTTCCTCCTAAAGTTTCAGTTTAAGCCTTTCATTTATTATATTATTTTTTGTTGTTATGTTTGCTGTATAATTTTATAAAAGCGCTTTTTTTTTTCATTTGTGCGAACTGCAGTATTTTGAAAATAAATAGTATTGCAGCTCTTGATCTGTGTATGTTTTCCACTTACAGTATTAAATCTTTCAACTTTCACGTCATAATGAAGCATCTATGATCAGTTACTCGTTATTCATTATATCCTTTCTGGAACAACTTTTTTTTTGGTGAAGTTTTGCAATATTTAAGATCAAAGACTTTGTGAAATAATGAACTATGGCAAGACATATTTAAGCTCTTCATGCATTATTTCTGTACTGCTTTGGCTCAGTCTCAATAAAGTGGCAAGAAATAGCAGACAGAATTGCTAGCCGTATTAAATCATGTATGTCCATTGATTGTCCTAATTATTAAATTATTAAATGACACTGTTATGAGAACGAAAGTGTTTAACAATACCATTTAGTGCTTGATGTTTTCCTTGAAGCGCTAAGAGTTAAAAGCTATAACGAAGCGTATAAAGCTATAAATATTGTAAATTATAAGTTGTAACAAATGTCCACTTTTGGATAAATGCTTCAGAGTTGGAATCCAAAAAGATATTAATAGTTTTGGCAATGTTGCGAATGTTCGTCTCGAAATGAAATATTGGGAGAAAGAAGGTAAAAGATCGGCGTATAATATAGCTGATTGATTAAGCAAACAGAACATAGATTCGTTGATCGTTTCCAGGAGTGAAATACCTAGAAATTGCTATTTCTGAAAAACCATTGCTGAAAAAACAAAAAACCATCGTTATTCTATTTCAGGATAGTCCATCTTATTTGCTTCTCTTGTGAGTTTTGTTTCAGTTGAGAGCATAAATCATTAATTGCTATTAATCTAATAGTTATTAAGTTGAGAACATAACATGTATCTAAATTTTCATCTGAATTCATGTCATTTCTTCTATCCCAGTTTCTCAGTTTGTCATTGATTCACTTTATCAGCTCTTTTCACTAATTTAGTGTAAAATTTCAAGCTAACCAGGAGAATGAGACTTATTCTTTATTCGTCTCTTCATTTTCGTCATATCTTACGTTAAGAATTTGGAACAAATAAAATAAAGAGGTGAACAGTTTTACTATAATTACCTTTAGACTCGTAACTATAATTACCTTAAACTATACTAACCATAATTACCTTAGACTCGCTATATTACGTAACACTTTAAGAACCAACAGCTTCTGAGATGGAGTTAAATTAATTATTCACAAGCAGTTTTGAGCCGTTGATGAGTTTAGTCTTTTTTCCCTTATCTTCTTAAATAAATATTTCATTTAACCTCAGTAAGACAAGATTTAGTTGTTGTTAATGAAAAAAATCTCTAAATTAATCAGCCTTCAAAAAGATTGGAATTTTTCATTTCTTCATCACAGGAATTTTATGACATTAACAATTGGCTGAACTGCTGTATTGTAGTCAGTAATAAACCATCAGAAGTTTCATATTACTATGCCAGTATCGTGTTTAGTAAACAATAAATATTGCATATCTCAATTTTGTTTACAAGGCAAGATTATGTTCAGTTTACAGTCTGCAGTTACTAATATGCCAAAATGTATTTCATAATCTTTGAGATAGTCTATTAATTTTATGTATTCCAGAACTGCGGTATTTATGATTATAGCTTCATGTCAGGTACAATAGAATGCACAAGTCTTCCAGGAACCTTAGAAGCACGAGCTTACTTCTTTGAACTTAAAATTTAGGTGCATGCTTTAAATTCTTGATAGTGAGAACAAAGAACTAAAAATGAAGATGAATTAATTAAAATTAAAAAAGTGGATGACAAATTTAAAATAAAATTATACTATCGGCGAGTTTAAGGCAGTATTAGATTGTTATTTTAAATTCCACTAATGTTTTTGTATATGCAAGCTTCTTTCACATTTTTGGGCATGAAACTGTCATATATGATTGTGTTTCATTGAAGTTTAGAATAATTATGTTACCTATTTATGCTATTTTGATATACTTCGCTATAATGATTCAATCGCTGAAAACTCACAGAGAACTGCAAAATGTAAGTTTTACAAAAATTTTAACAAAGAATTACCAGCAAAAGCAGACTGCTCGCTAGTATCAAAAATGTTCTGATAAAAGCTGCCAATATAGCAATATTTGCATTTCCGTTCCTTTATGAATAGTGCTTCTTCTAATGACTTATAAGTTAAGATTCTGCTGAAAGTGCATTAATCTATATCACCAAAATGATATCAAAATGAGAAAAGTACTGTACTTCGAACTTTTTTGAATCTAATACGATTTAGCAAAATATGTGGGATAGACGGAAAGAACTGCGACAGTTGGATGAAGTAACTCTGTCATTGCTGCAATATGAATTCGAGCATTTTCGACAAGAATCTACAAATAATGTTACTTTGATTGATGCATTAGCAGTAGCAGTAATGACCAAAGAATTAATCATTGAAAGGTAAATGCTTCTATTAGTTTTTGTGGAATGTTAAACTTCATTTCGCTTTCAACATCTTCTGAAGCTACTAAGGAGGATCTCCGCTGTGGTAACACAGTTTCTTCAGCTAATGCTGAAAAGCTGAAGCTCTAAAGTGTTCATTTTAATAATTTGACTTTATTTTGTGATCATTCACATATTTCCCTATCACAGATTGGAAGAGAGTATCGGAATGGCACTTCCGTACTGGGATTACCGAATGGACACTCAATTGGCGGAACCGAAAGATTCGTCGATTATGCTGATGGAGCTGTGTCAGCACGTAAATGAAAGCAATGACAATTTGCTGATGAACAGTACCGAAGAAGAAACTGATCGACAGTTGTTGAAAATTGAACAAAGATGTAAAAGTGGTGCATTACTGACATTTCTGCGGCAAACTTTACCTCCTGACAACAGTGAATTTTTGAAAATTTCTAAAAGTTCTGCAAGTATCATTGGTAAAAAATTTTTAGATCGATTCTTACAAAGTGAAAAATAACAGCTTTTAATGTTTTCTTTTGCAAAAATGAAGTTATTACTTCATCATTTCACTCGGAAAAAAGATACCGTTACAGAAAGAACGTTTGCTTGTTTAATTATTCGGTTAAATAAATTAACTGATTGAATCAAACTTTCGTTGCAGTTATGACCCACGAGAATCAAATATTTGATTATAACAGCAAGCATTTAAATGAGTAACAATAAGTGAGACAGGCTTTTGCATTCAAAAATTAGTGTTACAGTAATTAATCATTGAAATCTATAGTAAACTTTTCAGCTCTTACAAAAGGATGTTCACTGTGTGAAACTAACAACAGCAAAAGATGGTTGTTCTGTGATCGGAATACTCATCTATGCGTTAGTAAAATAATTCCTAATGGTGACTGCACGAAGTTCCAAAATAATTCAGAAAGCTGTTTTCAATCAAAATGTGATCAGGGGCGCTGTAGTCAGCAAGAAATGACGACTATTATGAAAGTATCTGAAAACACTACCATCGCAAGAAATTCTGCAAGCTATCTTAAAAATTCATTACTTCCGCCGAAAGCAGTACTTCTGACGAGGAACTTCACATCAGACATAAATTCAAATCATATCCGTAGAACTGATGTACAAAATGCGAAAAATAGCTCAATATCTCATTGGGTAATCTCAGAAGGTAAATATCAAATACTAGATTTTATGCCGATCGAATTGTCAAAATTCAAAGGTAGTACAGAAAACAGTTCTTACGACAAAAAAGAAATAATTTTACCTATAAAACGAAATAGAAATAGGAAGAAGGTCAAGAAGCATTCCGGGGGATTCAGAAATAAAGGTGAAGCTGAAATTAACAAGACATCTCCTAAGAAATATCCGGAATCGATCCATTTCGTTCAATCCGATAACAACACATTTCCGACAAAGAAACGATCGAAATACGATGACTCCCACAGAAAATTCAAACAGCAAGAAGCAGTTAGTAAAGTGCGAAAAGGCATTATTCATTTATATGGATTTGATAGACCATCTTCCAGTGAGGAATTGCTGAAATCTTTGAAAATAGGTCCTGATTTCGGAAAGGTTCCTGAATTTGGCATGAAAGATGCAAAAATACCAGTGCAGGCCGAAGAACAATATAAGACCACTACTGTCAGTGTTCCCTCGCAATATGTTTACTTTTTTATTACTGTTATTAAAGGTAAATCAAAACGTAATAATTTACTGAACCGAGCTGTTGATGTCTGTGATATTACACTTAGCGGAGCAAACATGCCTTATGGTTTCACTGAAAGCATCAAAGTAAGTAACATCATTTGCAATTCTGAAAGCTATAAAGCTTATGCTTTAAATTGGCAATGAATTTCTATTTCAGTCTGGGAAAACTTAGACCAACCATTTGTTTTTAAAAATGCCACAAAATTTTTTCAGATTTGAGCACTAGATTAAAAAACTTCAATTCATAAAAATTAAGAGATTTAATTAAGATTGAGATAATAATAAAAAAAAGGGAGGATATCTTGTATACCATTTCATTTATTTTTATGCACCACTCACTTTGGCATCAGACCAATGATTGTATTGGGGCATTGCATACTCGAAGTCTGTTTAATATAATAATTAAATAAATTTTATAGTGAATCCAGTAGACGGGCAAAATTCTCAATTGGAAAGGGTTTTAATTACAAAATGCGAGAATGACAGTGCTTTCAAATATTATTGTAATTAATGTAATTCATAGGGACAGTTGATTCAAAATAAAACGTCTGCTGTTTTACGTACATTGAATCCGGAGATGTTTGGCCCACTTGTGGAATTCTATATTACAGTAACTGATCAGGATGGACGACTCTGCCAGCAAAAATGTTTGAATACCAAAGGAACTTATGGAAATTGCGAAGAACGGCCAATTCGATTATCAAGTCATGAGTTCATCGTTTTTTCAGATCCGATTGAATTTCATGAGGTATTTTGACCATTGTTTCTGTACGGAACGATGATTCGCAATCAATTCATTTGTCAAATACACTACCATTTAGTGATAAGGAGTAGGAAGAGAGTAGTGATTCATTTCCGTTCATTCGAGAATTTTATTTATTAAGCAGTGCATTTGATGGAAAATTTCCCCTCTTCGCTATCAGCAAGATTATGTAACGAGCGCGCAAATTCAGCTCGTCGTTACCAATGCTACGAGATCGGTTTCAAATCCGTATTGATCATTCCTTGTAGTAACTTTTGAAGTGAAGAACTACCATTTCTTTCTTCTCCTTAAATTAGATGACATTTTGCAGACCCAAAACTTACTTTTGGAACATCAATGGATCGGAAGAGGATATTATCGCAAGAGAAAACGCAATTTCTTACTATTTATTTGTGACGAATGATGGAAATAATCAAAAAGACAATGTATTGTCATATTTAATCATCCAAACTTAATTTTGCCAGTTACAAATGAGCGGTCTCTGAATGGATATTCAAAAGCCTACTCTAAACCTTATTTTTAGAATGAAAATTAAGAGGCATCTTTCTACAGTAAGGCTACTTTCTTAACAACCACATTCACTTTTAAGCATCATAAATTTCAAGCATCACAAATCAAAAATTACGCATCATCAGAATTATACTAATTATATTAGTACACCAGACAACCAGAATTTATTGAAAAGAAAATAAAAGATAAAACTGGAGACAAAAGCATTTATAAAAATTGATCAATTCACTGGTATTACAGTTAAGTAAAGAGAACGTCACCGGCATTTTAGGGAATGATTTTAGAATCCTATAAATGTTAGAAGCATCTCGTTGACTTACAATATATTTGGAAAACAGTCAATTACGTTCTATCGGAACTGTAAATTTTATTAAATTCTATTACAGTTTATAAAGCCAAAATCTATATAATTATTATATGTTAAATGAAAACACACAACTACAAAATTAAGAACCTTCAAAAATATGACAAATACTAATTTTGAATGAACCAGCATGTTCTTAGTCAAACACTGCAGAAAAGGAATATAAATGATAAGATATAATACTGAAAATAAAGCAACAGTTTCCCACTATCGAAATACTTTATAAGAAGTTCTACAACATTTTTGAATGTTGAAATGGATTTAGTTCCCGACTTTGTTATAAACAAACAAAAGTAAGGAGCGAATGACTAGCCTTGTTATCATGACAAAAGGAACAAAAAAGATGCAAGACAAAAGATTTACATAACAGGAAAATACAAATCTGGTAAAAATTCGGAAATTGAAATGTATCAGAAATCCAGCTTAAATGTTGTTTGAATAATGTGCTGTCATGTCGTTAAAAAAGCGGTTTAGTAGGTATTTCCCAAACAATCAGGTGAGACAAATCTCGAGTTCGTACTGCATCTGTCACGTCTATAGCATCTTCTTCTCCTAAATTTTGCTAAAGTTACTTGATTTCGGAAATACGTGAAAAAAGAAAATAGCTTTGATTCAGGTAAAATTATTGTACAAACCTATTCTAAAATCGATATAACCATCACCACCAGAAATAACAAGCATTTTCAGGGAAGCCAATTTATCTAACTTGCCAGCATAATCCAACGACTTCGTAGGGGTTCCCGATGAGACACCTGCATTTGCACCTTTATTCAAAAATAAAATGAAAACATTCCACAGAAAAATTAATTGCACTAACCAAATTAAAAAGTGGTCAAAATGATTAATAAAATTTAACAGTTTTGAAAACAGCAGAAGTAAGCATAAAACCGCAACTGTATTCTGTTTTTCTAGTTTCATATAGAATTGTGAACCTAATTTTGTTGAGTACACGCGATTCATGCATATTGAATATAAAGTAAAAAAAGAAAAGCTGTAAACTTTGTTTGTCTTTTTGCAATCATGGATTGATTTAAAGTATTGTTAATTTCCTAGCACGACCGTAAGAAACTGACATTACTTCAGGACAATAGAGTGTAGTAAACTGATGAATGAGAAACCGACTATTCTTCCATTCAAAAAGACTCACCAGGGACAGCCAACAAGAATTTCACTGGATGCTTGTGTCCATGAAATGAGAGCTGGGCATGTGACATATCACAGTATGGTATAAAGCTACCAGACGATGTTGTCTCGCAGGCCACATCACCATAAACCCTAATTAATCCACCTGGACCTCGCACATCTTCAGTATGTGAATGTATCTCTACTTTTGTTTCAACTCGATTTTGATTAGCTGCAAATGTAAATTTTTATTAATTATATTTCATTCTAAGACGGGAAGGAGGCAGTACCATAGAAAGTTGACTCATCAGCAAACAGCTGATCCATGCCACAGTTAAATAGTAAACTTGAAAGCATTAACATGGAAAGCATTTAAAGAGAAGATATACGGGAAGCTTACAATCTAAAAAAATGGACCCAGCACTACAGTTTAGTGCATTCAACTTTCATATAAAATACACTCAAACATTTGCAGAATGAAAAATTGTCTTCAGCTTTTTATTAAGTTATTAAATTATAACATCTATTGATGTAAATTTACAAAAACCATATTTATAAAAATGGAGCATAGACCTACTTCCAGAAAGGGGTACTGAAATAATAACACCCATTCCTGTGCCAATCCATAAACGTCGAGAGATTGCCAATAGCGCAGTCGTGGGCATGTAGGAATAATCCAGCGTAACAGTGCCTAAAAAGAATAACTTCACTGTCGCAAGAAAAATCAATGAAAAGAAAAAAAAAGCAACGGTTTGAAGACTGTATGAACATCAGCGTACTCTTACTCAATTAATCCTCCTATACAAAATTAGGTGTTACGTAAACATACCCAACATTTTTGTGACATAGGGTTCAATGTCAATATCTTGAAGATGTTCATGATTATAGGCATGGTAAAGTCGAAGTGTTGAATCGAATCGAACAGAGATCCATACGCCATCACCAATCCATTGCATATGATGCACTTGACTATTTCGTATTGGATGCACAGCAAAAACTTTCTACAAGAGGAATAATTTAGCAACAAACGGATACTATTCGTGGAACTCTGCACCAATATAGCAAATAAAGATAACCTTCGCAGTAAGATCTTCTGGGTCAATGACAATGATACAGTTGCGATAAGCAGCCCACAAACGATCGCCCACCACTGAAAGTGATCTTACTGAACTTGTCGCACGACCGACAGTGATACAATGGTAACCTGCTTCAGACCAACCACCATCTAAAAAACGACAGCGTTATTTGGCAGTAAAGATATATTTGGGAAAAAAGACTGATCTCATAAATTAAAAATCACGGTGAGAATTGCAGTTTGCATACTGCAAATGTGAATCCTTCTGTCAAATGTAAGTAAAACTATCCGGACGAATTTATTCCGGATTTACTTCGAGTTACAATGATCTAGAACCAAACTAAATTACACCTTAATTTAGTCGACATAAGAAATGCAAAATGTCAGCTCTCTTGGACATTACTGTAATTACTAGGATATCTAACTCATCATCATATTCTTACCATTTCTTCTATACAACCAGGGAATAGTGTGAGACAAAGAGACTATAATTTCGTCTTCCATAAATTTTTTACAAGATAAAATAAAAATACATTAATGAAACATACTTGCATTCCGATGAAAAACAGCAATAGATCCATTAGCCAGCGCGGCGAATACTCTTCCCTTGTAATGTCTGAAATATCACAAACTTACTTATTAAAGAAATGTTTCAAAAATCAAGTAAATCCATCCATAAATACCCATAAATATCTGATACGCTGAAAGGTTAAGGAGTTAAAAGATCGAACATACCCCGGGTCGTTTTGTTAGTGCAAAAAATACTTGAGATATATGAAAGAGGTTTCAGTTGCTTAATGAATCTTCACATTTTCAATTGGAAACAAAGACAACTCCCTTTCTTTCCATTTGTTTATCCAGTTACAAAAAAAAAAAAAAAAAAACATGTATAATTATCAATGAAATCATTTACAACATACACAATGGAAAGGACCGCGTCACACATCTTTATACGCCGTAAACATTTACGCCATTTCGATACCGCCGAATGAATAAATATACTAGAAAAATAGAAAAAGATTATATGTCATAGAAAAACTATTTAGTGGAAAAATATAAGACAATGAAGAAATGATGCCGGAAAAACAGCTTCTCATTAATGAATTAACAAGAAAAGATCGATGAATTTGAAAACTGAGAAATAGTGGCTGAAACTGCATTGACCAATTATGATGAAACGTCATTCCATACCAAATTCTTCAGTGTATCATGTATCATTCAAGTAAGATATCATTCAGACTAAGAAAACTTTTACAGTAAAAAATCATCATAACTGAGCTTACTACTCATTCTGAGATCCCATCCACATCGTTGGCAGAGAAGTCACGTTGTCTGATAGACCTTCATACTTGCTGAGTTTATTTTTAATATGAGCTGGAAGTGCACTAAAACCGCCTTCTCCTGCTTGTTCCAAAGTATCTGAAAGTTTTGAGAATCGTTAACAATTACTCTGAAATGCATATATTTGAGAGGTGATTACTACATAATTTGTACACAGACAATCATGAAAATTTGTCAAAGGTAGCATTTTAAGAAAAAAGGATAAATATTCTAGTTAGACAATTCTGATATCATTATCAGTATAGAAAACTACAGGAGTACCTTAAAAAAAGGCATGTATAAATGAAAATGAAACAGGATTATGTTATGAACTTGTCTAACATTTAAGATTGTTAAATCAAAATTATGTCAAAATAACTACGAAACATCAGTGAATAGTTAGATAAAAACATGCACTAAAAAAAGTAAAATAAAATAACCTGATTAGAAAAAAAACTCAGTATTTCACTAATTTGGACGGATTTTTTGGCACCTGATAAGTGTGCTAAAGAATATAGAAATGATTACTTCCACAACAGTGCGATTCGTAAAAATGAAAACACAAAAGCTGTACAATGGAATTACAGTACATCTATATTATCTCACCAATAGTGCCCATATCAGCTGCTTCTTTAAGTTTTTCCAGAAGTATATATTTCTTCACAATGCCATTATCCTCAACTTTCTTCGTTTCGTTCTCATCTTTCACTTCGTTTTCCAATTTGACTACATGTGTATTTCAGCAAATTTAATATCACAATGAGGAATAAGAAGGAAGTTACGACAATAAACAAGATGATGAGAATACAATTCATAGAAAACTTATTAGTTTTACAGTTACCAATATGTAATGACTAATGACTACAATTTAGTCATATTCACAGCTGAACATTACCAGATAAAGCTTACCGAGTTCAGTTACCTCGTTTAGACCTTGGTTACTCTCGGAAGTACTTGGTGCACTCTGTTCACAAACACTGACTAAAATCATCTATTTTCAAATTATAATTTGTTATATAAAGTACTTATAACAAATTATATATATATATGCATACTTGAAATATGAATTTAAAATAAAATCTGTGCAGTTAGAAATCTAAACTTACAATCTCGTGATCGTTGCGGAGAAGGTTTCTGATGAGGACCACAGTAAGTTAACGTAGTGTCTTCACCCGAATCAAGTTTTCGCAACTCCACCTTAGATATGGAAACGCGTCAAAGATTATGACAACAATCTCTTCGTCACTTTTTAGAAGTAATTCAAATAATTATTAAGTTTAAAGAAAAACAAGTACCCACTCCACGGCACCGAATTGTTCCTGCTCGTTGATATTTGATGGCAAGCCTTTCACATAACCGCCACCACGACAAAATTTTTTCCAGTCCATATCTTCCGAAGGATAATCCAACTCTTGAACACCTTAAATTTATTATCCGTTTAAAACTTATCTAACTGTTTATTGAAAGAAAAAGTATCTGACTTTCAATAGGACAAGGAAAATTTATTGACCTGGTACAGACGAGACACAGAGAATGTGTGCGGAACATGCCTGGAACGCATCAATAACACTGTTTGGATTGTTTGCATCTAGTATAACAATATGACTACGTCCTTGATTCGAACTACATACCCATAACAAACTTGAACTCTCCCATGTAAGCATTTCCACTTCACGCTCATTCGTCGTTGTTTCCTATTTATTATGTGACATCATTCTCTTTTATAACGAAGGTCAACTAATATGCATCCAAGGCAATAAAGCTTTAAAAGTAACAAAATCTAACTGCAAATATAAATATTGTAATATCAATATCACTTCTAATTTCACCTCTTTAATATCCTCTGTCACCACATTGCAGCATCATTTAAATTATTTCACTTTATAAATATTTATGTTCTATGAAAATAAAAGACTTTTTGAAATGATATAAGGCTGCATATACTTGATTTTACATATACAGAAACGATTCTTCCTACACTTACCTTTTGTTATTCTTAGATTTCTTAACTGCTGTAGTCTAGTAAAAGCAAACATTTAGTGTCTCGTGGTTTTTCTATCATTTCGACACACCTGTTTATTGTTTGCTTTATATGATTTTAAAAATCTAATTTGGTTACATCTCATTTATACATTTTACTCAAATCTTTTCATAAAAACGCTTGCATGTATTAAATTTCTGCAACAATAAGGTACTTACCTTATGTGCGAAGTCAATTTTATCTACTGACTTCTCAAGCGGCATAGATTCTTTTGGAGTTCTACGATGCGTTAAATCTTCAACAATATATCCACCATCAGGTGTTCTACCCCCTCGCAACGTAACACCCGATGAACACCAGATCTGATAACTTGGTGACACTAATTTCAAAAAAATGAAATATGAAGTATTTTGTGCAATGCAATATTAAAAATAGTTACGTTTTTGTTTTTCTAACTATCTATAAGCTTATTCCAATGTTTACTGCTTACGTGAAGGAAAAAACAATAGAAATTAGTAATACCCTCAATGAAGGGTCCAAATCAATGAGTGGTCTGCAGAACATTGGGACTGGTACCACAGTATTTTCACTGCGTTCACCAAAAACCTCTGGAATAGACCATCCATATGCACCGTTTTTTTCACGCTTCATATGTTCCTTTACAATTTTATACTGCTGTCGCTTTTCTGCAGCCCTTCTTTCGGATGCACTGAATAACATTTAATAGTTTAATCAAAAATTTGAGTAACACCAAACTTTTAAAATTTGTCTAATTTTATTTTAATTTACAACATTTAGTGAATACGCAATGTTAACGTACTAATCTGCATCCATGAAATCAATTGTTTTCGCATTTGAACGACGAAGGGCATCACGCTCATTACCACCTATTCTTCTCCGACGATTTGAACTATGTGGTGGCTCGTGCATAAATAAACCAGAGAAACTAAATAATTTTGCTGGTAAAATTAGAAATTTTTGAAATTTATAATTCTCAGACTAAAAATATGCATCGTAACTGATCGAATTCTGGAAAACCTAAATATTGTCTTATATTCAATTCAGTACTAACAATTCCCAAATTCCACTACTCTTTTTAGTATTCAGAGCATTCAAACGCTTAGCACGTTGCATTTCAGTCCATTTCATAGCTTCCTGGAGCTCCATCAATTTTTCCTTGTATTGATTACGCTCCAACAGAACACGAGCCATCTCAAGCCGTGTAAAACGCTTCCGTTGTGCCATTGGTAGATCCTCCTAAATTAAGAGACCGTAACATCATTTTAACTGAATTCTCATCAACTTAAATTCCAAAATGTGCTGCAATGTGAATAATATATCATTCATCTGGGAACTGCGAAGTTATATATAGCTAAGATGTAAAAATAACGAACAGATTCTCCTGCACAACACAAATACAAGAAAAGAAAAAAGTGTTGCCTACCTGATCATCTTCATTTCGAACTTCCAACTTATCTTTAAGCTCACGGACTTCCAATTCCAACTCTTTTATCCGTTCATTCATCTTCGACCTTACCATTTCCAAACTTCGAATCTCTTCACGTAATATGTCTTGTTCACTAAAGCACAACCAGAATTGATGAATGATTCAAGTTTCTTGTGTTGTTCAGCTTCCAGCACTAATGAATGTTAATGTATGACGTCATAACCATTGTGCAGGACGAAAGAACAACTCAAGTTAAAATAATAAACCTGCTCAATTCATCAACACGGGCAATCAAATCATTCTTCACAATATTAAGGGCATTTTTCGTCTCCAGTAATTCAGTATTTTCTTTGATCAAATTTTCCACTTCACGGCCCATTCCTGAAGCATGTAAATCAAGTTTGCAGATTTGAAAAAAAGAAAAAATTCAGAGTGTCTCATAAACATACAATACCACAACTATATTTAACATCGTGCAGTTCTGTTGAATCCGAACTTCAATGATTCAGAATGCGAATTTATTTGAAAAACTTTGTCTAAACAATCCTAACATAGTCACCAAAATCATTCTGATAAAATTTGAAAAAATCACATCTTTTTATTAGCGTCAGAATGACTTCGACAACCACAGATGTTCTTCCATGCATGCCGTACCATCAGTGTGGTACAAGTCTTTTACAAAAAGAAAACAAAGAACAAAAGCTTATATCCTCTAAATCATTTCTAAATGTTAATGCTAGTTATCTTTCTTTACCTTAGTAGCTGTTTCGAGAAAATGAAACATAATAGCATATACAAAAAGATGAGTACAGCGTTACACAAATACTACAACAGATTCTATAACATACCGATAAATGTGTCGTTCACTGGAAATGATTTCAAGCATTAGCTATTTTCAAATTGGTAATAATTGAAACAAACTAGAAGAAATGAAAATTTGATTAAATTCGTGAGAACAAGAAGGAACAAGCACAGTGTTCGACAAAAAACATGCGATTAGCGTGGAATAGCGAAATGTAGAGATGCAAACGAAAAAGGAAACGTATAGCAAAAATGGTAAGCATGGCAAAACTTAACTCACTTCAAAATAATTCAAGTGGAATTAAAAAGGATAAATATGAGCTCTGAGCATCTGCTTATTTCCATCAGTGGGAATTTGAATATAAAATTAAAAAAAGTAAAGCCAAAAAACTTTAAAACGGTAGATAACCATTCAAAATAGCTTACCAACATTCTTTACATAAGGGAATTCTTCTAAAAATCGTGCAGACAGAAAAAAAAAATGCATGCAACAAAATCACAAGTAGTATATCATTATTAACATAAGCAAAATTAATTTGTCTGACGGTTACACCAGACAAAAGGTAACTTTATCGTTAATATTAGTTATGACTCATTCATTTTCAGTGTTTATTTCCAGTTCATTTCAGCATTGCAAAAGACAATAAGGAATCGATAAAAGCGTTCCATGCAATTTTACTAAAGAAGCAATCAAAGATAATCTCATGCAAAATTAATAATTCAAAAAGTGACAGTAACGAATTTCTTCTGATCCTTCCCTATTCGTCGTATATTGATTTCCGTTCGTGATCTGCCACGTCAATTGACTGACTTCGCATAGTGGATTTATTTCATGTTAGGTGATATTTCATCGGTGCAAACCAAACAATTATAGTCACAGTGGTTTATGAAAAGTGCTGGCTACAAATAGATCTGATATGAAAAGAGAGTCAACAAGTTTTAGTATTGTATATGTTTCTAATATCGTATTAGCAAACACCACCAATACCAATCAGGAAATTTTGCAAAAAGAAAGATTACCCGCGGAAGCAAATTCAGCCGGATCAACAAGTGCACCTGTAGAAGAAACACCCCTTTCAAATTTTAGTTGAAAACACGCACAAAATTCAAAGTTTTTCGACTCACGTGCATTTTTAATTTCTTACAACGTTTCAATCAATTTTTGGAAACCATAACTCTAATGATAAGATGATTTCAGAATGAGGTGTAAGTCCAACGAAAAGTCCAAACAGTAATTGAATCAAACCACATCAATTAAACTCCTGTAAATAAAGTGAACGACAAAAATACCTGTTAGATCTGCGCCAAGAGAATCCACAGCATCATTGGTTCTACAATAATTTATCAAACAGATGAAGCATTTTCAATCAACAATTTTTGAAGAATCTGATTTTAAAAATCTTAAAAAATCATTTAATATGGCATATCACAATTCATTGCTCGATGGAAAAAACCTGGAGTTAATTTTCTATCACAATACCCTTTAAACACTTCTTGGAAGCAATAGAGGCACCAAAACATGCTAGAATTATTCCTAGAAGCTCAAAGTAAACTGAATGATATTGTCACATATTGGTAAGTTAATTTACCTAGCTAGCTGAATCATTAATAACATTATAAAAAAAGGAACTGGAAAGAACGGTTAAACGATTGAACAGTAGTCTTTTTCAAGAGTCTTTTTCTGACGAAACTTCATCAGACGTTATATATCAAACAAAACTTATCAGTTTTTACCAACTCTTACCGAATATTTTAGTTTTGATGTTTCTTTAAAAGGCGAAGACAAAACATTTCCAAAATGTAAGACTTACACTGCAACTGCTACTGGAACAGATGTGGAAGATTGAAAAGTGTTATCAGGAAGTACTGGAGGTACTTCACGCGGCGATTCCAAGGTTGAGGAATCACGAGGTGACTGTAGTATATCAGAAGCATTTTGGCCGAATTCATCATGCCAATCAGCTCAAAAAAATTACTATATTCAAGTATATAAATCTACTCTTCGACAGTAATGCTTCATTTCTTACTCTGATAATTATTTCCTATGGACAAAAGTAAAAAGTTATTTTGATTATAAAAATATCACATTCGCTACTAATATGATTGGCAAGATTGACGTCAAGTGTGGTACTCTGTGACATATGAGCACTTATCAAATCAGATACGCCGCGAATTGCGTTTACATCTACTGAAGCTGCCATTCCCATTCTGAAAATCATATGCTGTCAATACAATGCGAAAGGAAGAAATTCTATTCTTAAATCCCCATTAAAACACTTTTTGATTTAGAAATAATAAGAGCCAATCACTAATACACAACAAAAAAGCAATGCATCTCGAGAAAAAGTGAATGAATAGAGCAAAGACCCATCTACCTGCTAAAAAAAGCCTCACCTAGCTATAGATTTCTAAAATTAATTTTTTGTGTTTCAAGAAATACTATACAATTAAATTGCTCTATGAAAATATTTCTGATGATGAATGCAGTATAAAGATTTTATTTGCATGCACATACCTAGTTTTTTGATGAACAATAACTGTAATTTGATCTAACGAAAGCCATTTACATAATGAAGCAGCAAATTAAAATTATGAAATGCACCTTCTGACCGACTGTTTGAAAAAGCTTTCAAAATATTTTCCAGTCATTTTGAATTAAACTACCCTACAGTTTTTATATTTTTTAACTTATCTCTAATATGAAATTTATGAAAGTCCCACTATATATATTTAAGGCGTAAATGAAGTTAATAACTAAAAGTTGAAGGAAAAACAGTATTTTGTTCTTCACTGACAATTACCATATGTAAATTCTCTTCCTCTTTCAAAACAACGATGAAAGTGACTCTGTCAGGAACTATTAAAAATCATTTAACTGTACGAGTCTAAGCCAAAATATGCAATGCAATTTTTCATCAAATCTTCACTTGGAACTAACAAAATGATAAAAAAGTGGTAGCTGGTTAAAATAGAAATAGATCGAACTGTTTTCTGATTTGAACGGATCTATGAGCTCCCAGAAGTGAATATGTTGAACATGATAAGAAGGTTGTCTAAAAAATTGTTGACAATCTACACTTATCAAAAGTAATATCAATCACTAGACACTCACTTTGTTCTTAACTGCTGTGAAGGTAAAGGCATGCTTTGCATCATTTCGAATTTTTCACTTCCCATTAGGTATTTTGTTCTTTCCATATGATCAATATGTGTTCTCAACAAAACATTGTATCTATCGTGTAATTTGTCAAATTCAGCTTTCTGGTCTGCTTCCCGTTCTTCCAGTCTTGAAGCTATAAAAAAAGAAACTTATAGCACTTAACAATTTGGCAATTAAATATAAACAGGAGAAATCATGTCTTATGAAAATATTTTGATAGTCTCGATAAATTCTTGGATTTCCACAAACCATGATCAGATGCATTCTTCGCTTTTAACTCCAACATTCTCATTATCGACTCCAGAGACTCAATTTTACTTTCAAGCTCTCGATTTTGTTCTATCAGTGAATCTTCAATTTCCAAACATTTCTATAAAACATAAACATGAATTCTTGCAAGATCGTTAGACTAAGCACAAAACTTTACCTGTTAATGGGTTACACAAGATTTAATTTATAGTCATTATAGAGCGTATGCATTGAGTGCTAACAATAAATCACTATCGAGAAAAAAACAGTCACATTTTTGAGAAACAAGCCATAAGCTCCCTCATAATGAGTAAATACCTGATCTTGAGCTCTCCTAAGGTGTTTCTCTCTTTCATATTGTATCATCAGTTGCTCATTATCTTCTTTAAGCATTTCCAAATCAACTGAGCATTCTTCTTTTTCCAAATATGCAAGGTCCAGACTTTCCAATACATTGACAACTAGTGGCATCAGATTCTGTAATATTTTAATTCAAATGAATTGAAATCTTATCGGAAAAATCAAAGTCACATTTTAATTTGAAGTGATAAACACTACAAAACTGAAATAGATTTTTCGCAAAACAATGTTATTATTCAGAGAAGAAATAACAGTTACTTTGACACTGTCTTCTCCATTTTTTTCTATCATAGTTTCGAATTCTTTGTAAATTGATGAAGCAAGCACTTGCACTTTTTCCGACATAACGCGAGTGTCATCACCTGCCGAACCAATTGATCCAGTAGCACCGTACACTATCTACCATAAAACTTGCATTATCAGTCAAAAGAAAACAAGCACTAGTTATACTAATACACACACACACACACACACACACACACATCTCTAATTAATCCGAGCAAATAATCAGAACATTACTTGAAATCTAAATAAAACTGATAATTATTTTAAAAGAAAAATTAATGCAAGAAAGTAATAATAATTACTTCATTAAACGACAACAACAGATGCTACTTTCCCATAGGAGATGTAGAAGAGTAACAAGATATGTTGCATAAAGAGGAAGGAAAAGACTCAACAAGCTAAACATAAGACTAAAAACAACTACAAGTCATGACATCTGGAGGACAAAACATCTGGATGGAAAGCTGCCACATTTCTTCTTTTTGCCTATGTTGGTCATGTACAGAACTGCCTATTTCCACTCCTATTGCAAGAATTTTAGTGATAGCGAAAAACACTAATAGAAAATTTTGGCAAATACAGAAGGTGACAGTTAATGCCTTTAAATCAAAGTCATTAAAAATTGTATGATTAATGTTGGACGACATAAATATATTTATTTATTAAAATTTATTTATGATGACAATGAAAAGAACGGTGAGTACAGAAAAATATCTGCTATTACACCAACACAATTATAATATTTTTTTTTCGTTTTTGATAATCATTTTTAACAGAAAAAAGGTTAAAATAGAGATAAATTTTACCAATGTTGAAGTTACTTAACTATTTCCCACAAAACATATTCGAATACTTAAAGACTTGCATACCACTAGTAATAAAAGAGCATACCTCACTGCTACTGCTGTTTGTGGAAGAATGCATCACACTGTTACTTTGAGTAATTTCCATTATTCTATCCTCTGCGGCACACTTCACAACAAAATATTGGTCCCGAAGTTGGGGACGTAGTCGCTAACTCCACTTTTAAGCCAGCTGTAAAGCAGAATGTAGAAATTGAATTAAAATGATAAGGACGCTCAACGCAATACCAAATTTCGGGTGAGATCGTTGAATTATGAATATGATACAAACTGCGTCTATATTGAACAACGGAAAAGCACAATAAAGGATAAAAATAGTTATTAAGAAAGGTACAAAGATTATTAAGGCCTGGCTATGTTTTCCATATAACAAATAGTGAGCTTAGAAAGAAGGATTAATTCAGAAATATCCTTCTTCCAGTACATCGATTAAACCTCCAAAACATTCGTAAATCTTTGAAGGGTCAAAAGTTGTCAGTGCGTTTCTCATACTGAATTGGGAGATGAAAAGATGACAACTATCTCAACAGATTCTGATATTGTCTGAAGAGATCATAAAACTATTTGATGACTATCATAATAAAACTGAACGTCTTCTAAGCACGAAGCGATCACCTTTGAATTTTACTTTCACTTGAGTATGTTACCCAGTCCCATATAATGCAAATGCTATGACAGAAGACGTACCCGCATAAGAAGGCACCACCCAGGAGTGTCTCCTACCGCATTCCAAACACTTCTCTCAAAGACTTCAACACTCCCTCTCCCTCCACTCCTTGCAGTAGTTTGTCGATCGATGTCGTTCCTCTCCTCTGCTACATACACACACAAACACACATACACACACATACATACATACACACACTTCCAACTAGAACCTTGGAAATAGGTCTATTATGAATGCAAGGCCCAGTGCAGGCTGGATCAAATCTCCCGAGAGGAAGCCTATCAGCACAGTGTGAGGAAAGACGGAGCAAGACAAGTACTGCTTTGGCTCGCCGGTCATCCATTAATACAATCGCTCCCGGTAATTCTGTACAGGCCATTCGGTAAATATAATAGGAAGGTAAAAAACTGGTCGTGATGGACAATGACAGTAAGTGTTACCATGAAACAGTAGCGATGGGAAGGAAAAGTTGTTGCAAGTCGAAGCTTTCTCAAGAGGGGACAGATGAAAATGAAATGTAAGCTGAAATGGCTCTGCTACTACAGTTCCAGTTGCTATCATTTAATGCATCACATCATTTATGTTCAAATGCACAACTCAATGCCATTCTTAAATTACTGAAATTCACATTTCAGTAATTTACCAGTAGCTCATAGCAGTGATTTCCATATGATTCTCTAGCTCATGCCTTATGCTTTAATAGTATGTATTTCCTGACTGATATTACGGAAGTGCAATTGGAAATGGATTTCTACTGGATTTCCATTTCCCCAACCTTTTGATAGAAAATTTAAATCATAGATCGTCAGTGAAGTCATGATGTTGACGTATGCTCTGTTAAAATATAGCCAAGAAGTAGAATACAATGTATTTCGTCTATCCCTGTTACAGTTCAATTCACTTCAGTCTTCGTAGTCTAACAACAACCGATATTCATGATAAGCCTTCACAATGCTACAACAGATCACTGTTATCTCTGATCATTATAGCTGTACCTACTTCGTCCAAAGTTTATCGTAGTATTCGTTTTTTTTTTTTATTTATCGTAATATTCGCCTCAATTTTATTCCTCATAAAATTTTGAATTTCAGATCGAACTCGAACAATGAATATGATGTTTACAGTTAGAAAATAAAAGAAACTTTTTCAGGAACAGCACTTCGTGACTTTCTGACCTCACTTGACCTAAGCCGAAAAATAGGTGGAAAATGTCCGAGAAGAAATTTTCAATAAACAGCCACTATAAGATTGACACATTAGATAAATGACATCGTATGTCATACCATCAATTTGGACTTTTCATCACTATGAACGCAGTGAATGAGGAGGAACATAAATTATTTCTGAATCTTCAATATTTCATAGTATCTGCGATATTGAAAAATTAACAAGATCAGGTAGTGCTCATCATTTTGGAATTTAAAGCTTTTGGGAATTTCTGATAAATAAAATGTGGACTGCAGTATTATAAATAGCGTTACTGTGTTTAATAATCGGAAAAGGTATACAGAACGAAATCATACAGAAAGTGCATCTCAACAGATTACTAATATCTCCAGCACTGCACACCATCCATTCTGAACAATTGTATGCACCACACAGTCCATAAGTCATTTTAAACAAATTGCCACTTTTTATTAAAACGAGGTAATTAAAATGAGACACAATTAACCATCTACTACTCATTCAGTATGTCTTATTAGTATTAATGTACGCATTCTTTTGTTAGTCAGTGTAACAGAGCATGATATATCCAACAAACCATTAATACATCAACGGAATCACAGCTGTTCGACTGAAGCAATGTCATTACTTTGTGATCTGTTGTTATGTATATTCTACAAAGCTAAAGTTTTTATCGTAAAAATGAAATCATAGCAGCTTACATAGGGAAAGTAAGATTTCTTAAATTAAACCACGAAACATCATATCGCCTAAGTATTGCACTTAGGCAATTAAATTATTTATAAGTTTTATAAAGTTTTAGCTTTTTTTTTTAGAGAGTTTTAGCTCTGTAAACGGTGAGAGTTAAAACAGGACCAGAAGTGAATAAAGATGAAAGAGTTCGAAGTCGGCATTTAGTTCTGCAAAAAAAAAAAAAAAAAATGTAATTGACGTATGAATTGTCAATAGTTTTTGAAAATTTAGTAAGGATTAACTGATCGATATATGTATAAGAAATAAAAGTCAGGAGAAATCTCATTTTCAGATTTTCGGGTGAAGTCATAAAAACCATCAGTGGAAAGAAGCGTATGAAGAGATTCAACTCACTGTTGGGAAGCTATTCCGTTATCTTTTCTCATGAATTTTAATCGCAAGAGAAAAGAATAAAAAACTATTATATAAAGTAAATATGTAGTAAACTGCCATTATGATTAGTTGTATTTCATCTTTGGCACTTATAATAAATGTCCTTACGTACAGTCCTTACTTCCAATATACTGCTGACAACTTCATACTATCTTAATTTCTTAAAGCGACAACGGAAAATTATTTCTCTAACATTTACTGTAAAATACAAGGTATGTGTACATGACATAAAAAGGACATTAACTGCTTGATATAATAACTTAGAGAAGTGGAGCTCAAAGACGCTTACACTGACTTCATTAGTCCCAAAATAACCTGTACTTTTCATTTAAAACAAATATTATAGATATTCACACAGAAAAAGAGAATCTATCCATTGATCCATCAACTAACCCTGAAAAATTCAAAACTAATATGAATATCCACGTCAAATTAATAAATAATTATGAAAGTTACGAATTTGAGGTTTAAAATAGGTACGCACCAAATAAAAGTTCATAACGAATTGAAGAAAAATTGATAAGTCAATAAAAGGTACTCTAATTTCATAATAAAGCTATTCTAGTGTCCATTACTTCACCATTAACTACGTATTCATTCTCAAGCAGCGATTGATAACGAAACCATGTTAAAAATTCACGATATATCTGATCGTCGAAAGCGTCGCCGCTCACAATCTGTAATAGGAATAATAGGTATAAGCTATTAGTTTTATAGCAATCCAACATAAAAAAAAAGGGGAAGCAAAAAAAAGGGCAATTAGACATAATCAAATATCTTCTTATAGATGAAAAAGAGGTTGACGTTAATGCAAAGAGTAATGAGAGCAATGCTCCTTGCACTTTGCTACTCAAACTGGTCGGTTGGACATAGTTAAATATCTTATAGATAAAGAGATTTATGCTAATATAAGAATAATAACAGTGATACTTCTTTAGATGTTGCTGATAAAAATGGTTACTCAGACATAGTTGAGTATTTTAATAAAAAGACATGTTTTCTTCAAAACTCTGATATTTCTTATGCGGAAGATGTTAGTTACTGAATTAGCCATAGAAGTTCCTTCCTAATTATTCATCGACTATATCATATTGGAATAAAATATTTTACAGTGCTTTAATTCCCTCATTTCTATATACATTACTCAAATCATCACTAAAATATCACATTTTAAACCTATAATTTCCTATTGTAAAGAGAAAATTTTTCAAAAGATAAAAGAAAAAAGTGAAATAACAAACCCCTACCTTCTGGTCTAATGATAAGTACACCTTCTTCTTTCAATTTATTGAGAGTAGCTGTATATGAACTTTCTGGCAAACAGTGGTTCTCTTCTGATCTTGAAGAATATCGTGGATTATTTTTCCTTAAAAAAAAGGAGCGGTTAATGTATAACATTTATAAAACATCAGTAAGGTTCAGAAACTCTGATGTTACGCTCAAAAAGCAGTGAAATAAAAATATGATTCGTTCCAAGGTTAAACCTTTTTAAAACTCGTTCCTCGTGGCAACAGAGAGCGACGTCATTTGCCTTTTTATCACAGTAACCAAAAAATTTTCCTGAAAGTTAGAATATTGAAAAAGTGTTCCAGTTTAACACTTTTTTAATTCGAATCACAAAGGAAATTTGACAAATTTCGAGAACTAAATCTGAAACCGAACCAAATGGATGATCGGCGTAACAACGCTCCAAGCGTTCAATCAAAAAATTACATTCAATCGTATGTGAATAGTATGAAAGATCAGCTTGCATCTTCCGTTCCTGAAAAATTCCTGAAAAATAATCTCTAACATTTAATTAGCTGACACCTCATCACACCACTTGCAGCTAATGTAAATAATGTATCACGCTTGGAAACCGAAAGAGATGCATATAATTTCTCTGAAAATAAAATATAACGCGTTTGTAAGCTCTGGAAAGACATCCTGAATGCACTGACCTATCGATTACCATAGCTTTCCCGACTACCCATGACACTCTACACCCACTGCTGTCCTATCTAGTAACTACAACACCGCAACAACATACGCATGCTCAAGAAACCAAGTAAAAAAAAAAAAAAACACCACTTCGTCACAGTTAATGCATGAAATTTCCGAGTACGTATGGTCCTTTGAATGGAAATTTTTTGAAGAATGAATAAGAACAACTAGAAAATAGTAAAATATATAGCATATCGGTTCAAAACAAAAAGAGAACTTAATTATAACCAGCACCAAATCAGATTTACCACTGCTGTCATTATCTTTTGCAGCATTAATGAAAAATTGTTATACAATTGTAAAATAATACGTAATCCTATACTATAAATCAATGAATTATTTATTATCTGAACTGTAAAAAAAAAGTTGAAATATGACAAATCAAACATGCGAAAAGACAAACTAAACAAATGAAAAAAAAAAAATTGTATACAAGTATACTGAAGTTTGAAGTACTACTATGTGAACATCTAATGATGCCATAAAACTTTATTCGCAACAAAGGTAAGTCATGCAGTACAACTAGATCACAGAGATAGTTCTATTTACACTTTTTGCATAATTTTAAATCATATTTAAGATATTTTATTAGATATGTTTGATAGATTAAAAAGATTATGCGACAAAAATACAGTAATTTCACTGAACACAGAGATAGTTCTATTTACATTTTGTAATAAAAAGATACATCCAAAAACTAAGAGCATACTAATTAAGTTTATTGAATTGCAACATTGGAAACTGTTTTTGTTATCCCATCACGTCTGATGCATAACCGCAAAATGTTAAAGAAATAGAATTGCTCCTAGACTTACCCTCATCTGTCAAAAACACAGCTGTTATCATATGAGCTCCCGAAAAGGGGTCAGTTTCTTTTATCAGCAATTGCAACCACTCCCTGAAACAGTAAAAGCCATCGACTTAAATGAACTTGTGAACATAATCCCATGATATGCACAGTTATTACTTGATAACATTTAGAACAGGGAAATGTGGAAAGACTTAAAATGCTTCCATAATGAAATAAACAGAAATACTTGCTAATAAATTAACCTTGAATAGAAGGATGCACTGACAACCGGATGTCTGTGATAAGAAGTTACTTCATTTTTCTTATTTTTGAAAAGCTTATCATTCTTTCCAAAAAGATATTCTTTGCAAATTTCTATTACACCGTGTTCAAGGCTTCCTTTCTTTTACAAAAATAAGTCGTCCTAAACATAATTTTCTTCAACAACCTGTAATTTGCATCAATGGGTTGTTACACACAAAGAAAGAAGGTAGAATTGCATGTTTGAAAAACATCTATCTTTATTCCAAATGATTTTCTCGTTTATTAATAAGTCTTTAGGACTATAAAAACTCTGAAAAGTCAGCTCACTTTTTTTTTTCATTTTCGAGAGTATTAAGCCTCAACAGCTGCACTTCGTAAAGTCAAATTCACGAAGTACTGAAAGCATCTGAAACTGCCACTGCAATACTGATCATAACATCTGAAACCTAAACTTTCATGGTGAATATTATATCTGGAAACCAGAAAATAGTTTCATTCGTTGTGGTTCAAAACGATTACATCCTGCGAATAAACCGAAAAATGACTTATGTCCGAGGAAATGTCTGAATATTACCTCTGGTATTACCTCGATGGCCAGAAATTACCGTTTTACCTTCATCCCTCTCCCACCACAGCCAATATCAACTGCTCCCCAACCACCACAAACCAAAAACAAGCCCAGCAACACTGGAAGGATCGAACTCACGTTATGTTACAATGACTAGTCCATGTATCACTGTAGACCCACTTCGTTCTCTTTTTCTCTTCCTTCCACCTTGCCGCAATATTTTGCGAAGGGCCAATCTGACACTGTACTATTTCTTCCAATTCTTACCCTCCTTCCTACTCTCCTAACTTCCACATTCTATTTCTCTCTTAATCCATACCAAATTATCTACCAGCAACCAACGATATCTTTACTGTGTATCTATGTCTTTACTCCCAGCTGACAGACAAAGCAAAAAGCGCCACGTGAAGGTGAGTTGGTTCTAGGTGACCGTTGTCCACTTCATTTGTTAATACCTTGATGTCTTCTTGGGACCAAGTGTCTGTCATCTTCCTTCTCATAATTCTAAAGTGTCGAATGTCATTCGTGGAAGTTCCATAAATAAATGAAATACGAGGTGAAATTGTAGTGTGATATAATAGCTTGATAAAATTCGTAAAGATTCGTAAAGATATAATAGCTTGATAAAACTGATGTAACAATTAGAAATAAAAATTAGTTGAACAAGTGCTTTAAATAATTAACTTATAGTAACAGTAATAACTATTTCAATGTAGTAATTTTTGCACATTAAAACTGTATAATGAATTTGAAAGTTTGACTAAATAATATGAAAAAAGATTAACTCTGTGCAGTTCACCATAACATAAATGAAATTATCATTTGACATAAAACACTGCAACTCTTTCCCTTTTGTCATCTTTCATAACATTAAAATTGATAACGATAAATAAATGGACTTTATCATGCTTATTTTCTCTGAAATGATTTGTTCCTATTAGTAATTGCAATTACTGATAGCAATACTTCTGTATAATATTTTCTGAAACTTAACTGAAGTCATTTGACTTCACAGATGGCACTCTATTTCATTTATAAGCTACTTGAAAATATATTTGAGAAATAAACAAAAGAAGCTGACAAGTGTGAAAGACATTAATGACATGCATTTCATGTGAGGAAAGATTTCAAAAGCAATCCTGTTAGAAGTTAAATAGACATTAGTTGAAGGCACTTTCAGAAAAGACGAAGTAGTGTTATACTATCTTTGCTCATAAAATTTTCTGATGCTGAACATATTTTAAATTCTGGAATTTAACAACTTTAGAAACAACTCAGAAATTAGAAAGTAAATAATAAACAAAGAATAAGTTAATGATTCCGCATAGATATATAAACTTTGTTTTTCCGTTATAATGGAAAGGAGTGAAATTTGAAATTTGTGGAATTAAGGGTTAAAAAAGTACCGGCTTATTGCTTTAATATTCCACCTTATATCCTCTCTATTAAAAGAAAAGAAAAAAAAAGGTGATGTGTTGGGATCTGAGGTAGAAATCTTTGAAAATATGACTGCTGTAAAACTTCAAGTGGAACTCTCATAGAAAAGAGAAACCCATAAAACGAGTCACATATTGAATTTTTGTTTAAAGAAAAACTACGAACGATTTGAACAAAATTAAGATTGAAACCTGATCCTATTTTTTTTCAAAAAAATTTCTTGCTGTGACGTCTTAAAGGTCTATTAAAAAACAAAAAACTTAAAGTCTATTAAATCATTTTCAAATTTCGATAAGCAGAGATCCCAACACATCGTTTAAATAGATGTACATAATCATGATCGTCTTACACGACGAAAATTGAGAAACACTGATATTGGAGGTAATAATGTTTTAGGATTGGGATATTTGGTGTCAAATGGATCATCGTCGTGTAGGGTATATGGTAGACTTGTCATGCCACACGTATTGATCACTGTTGTATGAACTTCGTTGGTACCAGCTAACCTTTCCTCTATTATTATCGGAGTGAAAGGAACGACGAAATTCTTTGGATCAATGCACAACTTAGATTGTCGGACACGTTGTATCATATTTGGAAGATGTGATGGTGGTTGGTCACAAGGTTCTTCAGCTGGCAGAATTAACGCTAAATTATCAGGTTCTACCTGTGGTATGACTGTCTCGGTGAATAGCTGAATGCTTGATACGGGAAACTGAGAATCATTTGGTGCTTCTGCTAACTGAATTGATCCGGGTTCATTTTCTATCCTTAGATTCTGTGATAGTTGATTCGGAGGTGGTGAGCTGCTGATAGGTTCATCATCTGATTCTTCAGATTGTAAAGGTGAAAGTGGTTTAGTTAGCCATCCCAATAAGCTTAAGTTATAATATTTCTTCTGAAAAAAGAAAGTGAAATGAAATATATATTTTAGCTAATACTTTAGTCGAACTTAGCAAAACTATCCGATCATCGTAATATACCGCAATTCAATACCTCAGGGTATTCTAAATATTTCGTTTCCAAAATCCCAGACTTGTTAGTTCTGAAATATCCATTTCTGTTTATTTTATGTTCTTTATTGCTAATAACGTAAAAACCTTTTGCGTTTGTATTTAAAATAAAATCTTGATTCCTGAATATCCTACTTTTAACTACATTTTTCTCTCAAATATTTTTGACATTTTCAACAACGTTCAATCTATTATTAGCAATACAATCCTTAAGTTACGATCACTACTTTTGTAAGGCAGCTCAATCATGCTAATTAATTACAGTTGAAAAATGCACCTGGCTGAGCCTAGAAAAGCATTTATTTCAACTACTGTAAGAAAATGAAAAATCTATCTGAAATTGTTCTTACCAGCCATCTCTCCCGACAAGATACTCGCTTTCTGGTTCGCTGCGTCACATTATTCTTTTGCTGTTTATCTGAAAAAGTTATTCTTCGATCCAGTAAATTTTTTAAATTTTTGATTGAATTTGCATAAATTTTCTCATTAGAAATAGAAAACCTATTTCAGATATTTAAATTTAATTAGCTTCAATATAAAATCTGAAAAAAAAAAAAACCTGTGGAACGATCAATTCTATTTTTGACAGGAACCATTGAAATCGTGCAGAGCGGATTGCGCAATGTTAAAAATAGCAGGGGAAGTTTTCTAGCTATGCTCACCTTTGTGTCTGACCTCATCTCTTGGATTTTGGGAGGGAATGTTTTCCTCCTGTAAAGATCACTATGCTGAACTCTGACCTTTAACCCCCAATACTGACATAGTTGTATGCAGTAGTGCCACAAACATCCACTGTTTCTAATATCTTAAAAAATCAATTTTTATAGTTCGTTACATTTGTTTAAAATAAATTAATCTTTTTCTCCTCTGTTAACACATTATTAAAACCAAGATGTTAAAATGCTCAAAAAGGTAACAAATGTTCAGAACTGCAACAAATATAAACGATCGGTGAAAGATATTGTCGTATTTGAAAACTTTTTATTTGAGTTAGCACTAGCTGATTCTTTCTTTGTGAAGAGGATACATGTTTTATAAGTAATGACTAATAAAACATTTTGTGAAAATTGATTATACATAACTTAAAACTCTGCATTTTCAAATCTTTCTGAGAAATAATGCAATAAAACTTTTGGGCTATGATGAGAACGTCTTTGATGACAAAGCAGCAATTAAATTCATCTAATTATAATGATGCCTCAAAATTGTCATTTTGAATCACTTGTTTTGTGTGAAGTAATTTAAAAAATAATTTGTTTTAAGTATATATATATATATATATATATACTGTGGAATGATGTGATCTGTAATATAATAATGGGTTTTCTATTTCCTACTAATTGCGTAGTTTTGTATAACACCCAATTTATTTGCTACAACATAAAAGAAACAAAGACTAAGAAGACTCATTGAACTTTTTTTAATTGAAGGTCTATGAAATATTATCAGTAGTATTAAAGCAAAAGATGGCACTTAATAGTTCATGTTTGATTCACTCTGACAAATTTCCTTCATAAAAATGAACTGTCCATAAGATTTTTGGTTTATTTGGCATATGGAGTCTCTCAAATCGTTCTTGGGAAATGTTTAGAATTTTGAATCCACAACAATTAATAAATGATAGACTACAATTGCTGAAATTCTCTGAAGTGATTTTGTCCAGGTGAACTAAAAAGATGAAAAGTGATCAGATTAATGTTTTTAATGATGTGGGAACATTATCTCTTGATGCGTTGTTACATTTGGCAATAAAACTATATATAGCAAATGATAGGTAATCTGATGCAAAATATTTCGTTCAGCTTTTAATGAATCATTTTTTTGAATCGAAGTTTGAGAATTAAAATATATGAAAATCTAATGGTTTTTTAATTATTGAAAGTAATCTTATGAGGAAAGTTTTATTACATAATAACAAATGATTAGATTGAAGATATCCATCAGCAACTACTGTATCATACGGACTGGAAAAACTGTACTTCGCATTCTTGAAGAAAATAAAAATATTTGCATCTTACGGTTTTATTCTTATTTTTACCTGTTTCACAACGAGATTGTTAGATAGATGTAAGAGCAGAAAATGCAAACTGATCCTGTGAATTTGACAAATTCAATTACAGATGGATTTGGTTTTGTGAGAACGAAATTTATGATAAGCAGTAACTTTGTGACAGCAATGAAATATTTTAATGGATTTGTAGTTGCTGACTTTTAAGATAATTCTCTGTTCTTTATGATTAATTTCTGCACATATCACTAGTTTATCAGTGTACTAGAAGTTCATATCATGAGTGCAATAAGATAGTTTATCACCGCTCATCTACAAATGTGTTCGCAATTATTTGTTCATATGTAGAGAGAGGGAGAGGAAGTGAGGGTGCAAGAAGATGAAAATTTATCCATCTAATTTTTCTTTTACTTCCACGTTTCAATGAACTTTTCAATCTAATAATGCGTGAAAAATTTGTTGCACTTTAAAACAAATTTTCAATGTGATCAGAAAAGTTTGGGCTCACTTCAGTCCCTTCTGCACTTATTTTCTCGTTAGTCTCATTCTGCATGTGAATGAACAACTGCTTCTATCTATTTCGAAGCAATTAGTAGAGGAAATACAGTGATAACTGACTCTCTTTTCTAAATATATTTACATCAGTTTGCAATCTAAGTAAGAAACAGTTATTTTCAGTTATTTTAAAGGCAGCATGACGTTTGTAGTAATAATTATTTGAAGAAGTCGAATAAATGATGCGACAGGTCTTTAAATGACGATGATAATGATGGAAGTGATAAGGGTGATAATGGTGAGGTTGATAATGATAACATGAGTGTTGGTGAGGAAATGCGATGATAACTGATTACATTCCTGTACAGTTGTTATCTTATGTAATTACTGCACGACTAATGTACGATTTCAATTTTCTGACTTATTAGGATAAAAAGCTCTTAAGAACACCATTCTAAGGAAGTAAAATATGAGTGCAGCTTTCTTGTTAATGAAATGATGCTAATATAGCAATATACATTTTCAAGTTGTTATACTATTTTTGAACTAATTTACTATTTTATCCAGCAGATCAGTCCAAATCAAATATTTAAGGTGTATGATGGATGGTTAACTTGTCATCTAAGACGCTTCACATATCTTTTTTTTTCAAGCATTCAATTCTTTTGCAACGCTATAACTAGTTCTGCAATACTGGTTTAAATTGTAAGATACAAAATATGTCTAATTTATCATACGTAAAAGTTCACATTGAAATTTATAAAGAAGCTTAATTAACTTCTTCGCTTGTGAAAAATTCGAAGAAAAAAGCTAAACTTTTCCAATAAGTAAGAAATTTTAATTGTATAAATCTTACAAATTCGGAAAAAAGAATTTTATCCTCTCTCTTTCATATTAACTTATCAACCAGTCCATCATTTAAGTTGTCCTACATACTTTACAAATCATTTCTCTTAGCACGATGAATATTAAATTTAAACTTCAAGAAAACAGAAGTAAATTTCACTTACAGGAAAATATAAAAATTTAGAAATTTATTAGTCACTATATCCGTATGAAATGCAACAAAATTCTTTACTTAGAAGAAATCTCCCTCTGTTATTCCAGAAGAAAAAAAAATAAATTAATTAAATACTTCAACCCCACACTCAGTATTAGAATTGGCTTCCTCAAGATTTTATGATTTAAATGCATTGCAATTCTCAACGACGTTCAAATTTCTGCTTTTCTAAATTTAAACTGTTTGTTCTAATTTTGAATCCTTATTCTGAATAAAATTAGATTTAAAAAATTAAAATTAAAAAATAATAACTGATGGAAGCAATATAATAGTGAAATATTTCACATTAAAAAATTTATGCAAATAATTTCTTTAAATGTAAAGCTTATAGAGGACAGATAAAAGCAATAAGTTTAAAGCAGGACACTTCGAGATATATGATCTAGATAGAAGCGAAAAAATTTCTGAATTTCTGATAGTACAGGTGTGAACAATTATTCTACTACAAGTACAATTGCAGGATTAATAACTGATGGATATTAAATGATAAAAACTGAGACATTAGATTTTAGTTTGAACTTGCAGATTTATGTTAAACCCGCAAATAAATTTTTAGATTAATGGCTATATTAAATGCATTACTCCATATGACCTTATTATGAGATTCTGCTTTTCTTCATTAGTTATTGTTACTGTCGAACTGCTTGTTGTGCCAATTGCTTGCGATGTTAATGGCCTTTCGATAAGGTTACTAAACATAAAATTAAAGCATTAACATTAACTCAGATATTGAAAGTAATAAAAAACCTTAAGTTGTAAAGTAATGTTTGCAGCACACAAGAATGACGTTATTCTATTTGCTCCCTAAAATTATTTTCGTCGTCTACATCGTACATACCTCTTTGATTAGAAACAAATCGCATTGGAGGATGAACTCTGACCTTTAAACATCCTGTTCGTCATAATCATCACTTCCAATGCCGATCACATTCTTCTAAATATACAAATTATCACAATGTGATGATAACAAGGATAGTCATAGTGTAAATAGAGATAACAATTGTAATTATGATCGGGAGCATAATGCACTGGACATCAGTTTCCCATTGTGTAATAATAATCAATCTTGCTCATTGTAAAAATTCTTGTTATAAAATCAAGGATCTACTGTTTTTATTTCTTGGCCATTTGAAAATGGATTAAACTAAATAATTGAAGTAAGTAAAATGGAGAATGTGTGGGTTGGAGAACGTCAGTCTGTAAAAAAGTATCGTAAAATCTAAGAAGCAAGAATCACTTAAGCTAACCAAGTCTTACCTATTTAAAACTCAAAAATACAAAAAGTAATAAGACCCATCTAGTTCCAACATGAATACAAACACTTAATACTGCTAGCCTTTGATTTTTTTTTCCTAAGGTAATTAATTAATTATCTTTGGCCCTACTTATTATTTACTTTAGTAACTACCCGAAATATTTCATCTAAGCAGTTAATCTTACAAGTGTATTTATAAAATATTCCATGGAAACTACTATGTGCTTGTGTTTCGTTCTTGTTTTCCTGTTTGGATGTTTACATTAATGGATGGATACTGCTGAACACTAATTAAGACCAACTACGCCATCCATCTACCGCTTCTTTATCCTTTCACCACTTCATTACTTTTGCTTGAAAATGTTCTCATCTATCCTTCCTCATTTTAAACCCTCAATAACAACGGAACGATTCTCCTCTTTCGTCATCATTCACATTCTACTTACCAAGTTTACAGTATGCTGCTGTTCGTCCCAGTGTCATCTTGAACTACACTGTTTTGGAATAGATGTCATAGCAAAAGATAACTCTCTACTGGACACTGCGACAATGGCACTTCTCTCCCGTTAGTTTGAAAAGCGATGCTGCATTGCTGATGACTGACTATCTTGATTGATGATTATCGGATGCAGAATTTCGTCTGAGACTCTAAGTATAGATGCACAATGAACTACATCAGTGCTTATCATGCAACTATTAATAGTGGATTCGTTATCAAATCAAGATTTTGTCAATTATTCCACTCCTTTCTCTACTCTTCTATAATAAGCAATACAAAAGGACTTGCATTTGAATAGTTTATAAATGCGTACTCGAAGAATAAATTTTATAAGAATTTTGAAACAGATAAAGAAAGCAAAAACTTTTTTATTCTGTTATTGGTGAGATGACCCATTCCCTCATATAAAGTGACCATTATATTATTATCACCAGTATACTATTATATCGTTATCAGAAAGGCAAAGAGAAGCCATGGAAATGGAGCAAAAATGTCACATTCGAGCCTCTGAATTGCTTCAATAACGCTACGATGACATTATCAAACAACGGTTCTATATGTAACTAATTTATTGATTCATTCGTTATATTCTCAACAATGTTAGGGCAAACACTGAAATTTGAGCATCTCAAACACTTTCCTCTTCCTTTGCCATTTCTATTTACTTTCTCATTTTTTCACTTTTCAAACTTTAATTTCACTAGCAAATGATGCAAGTTCGAATCGTTGAGTAATATTTCTTATACGACCCCTTAGTGAAATGAAGGATGACAAAGTGATGACCTGTCGCCATGTGTACATACCATAGTGCCAGCGAAGGAAGGAAGGAACAGGTTGGGTGCACATATTTGTCAACCTATCCGTCTTCCATTGAAGGATAGATGGATGAGTGCCCTGAGGGTTGCTGATTTGAGATGGCTCCTTGTCTACTGAGCACGGGCGCAACTAAATAGTAGTGCGAGAAGGCAATTATTATTGTTGCAGCTATGACTGCAGAATGCATGTCGTATGTGCAGCAACTGCTCGTTCACTGGTAATGCATGCATCGTCGCAGCGTATGGCAGTGGTATTTCGGATGATCACCTCATCTCCGTTATTTAACCCAATAACAAATTACGGTACACGCTTCCAGATGCCCTTCTCTGTTACCGTAGCACATTAATTACTTTTTTATAATCGTTTGTGTGCAAATGGCTCCTGTTGTTACTGGTGAAGTATCATGCACGAAATTTATCCGCCTGATATAGATGAAAGTATGATTCCGAGTAAAAAAACTTACACATAAGACCAAATCCAAATAACACTTTGTTTAATTAATGACGACTTGTTTTCAACTCATTGTGAAGTGAAATACGACAAGCATAACTTCTCATTTTATCTCTTTTTGAAATTTTAGAAATTTTTATCTTTTTAATAGTAAGCTGAAATGTTCTTGTCTAGTCACATCGATTTTATGTGAAGTTCAATTAAATTCTATCAATAAAATTGAAGAGTTAACAGATGCGTATGATGCTATCGCATCATTCATATTGTCAACCAGTTATCATCACAAAGCCAATAGAGTGGAGACAAAAACCAGGCCTCTCATTCTCTAAATTGATAGTACGAGTGAACGTCTGTCTTCTTGTCTCCGCAGTATTCTACCTTTTGGTGTTTCATCTAATGTACAGTGCTGACAGCACTGTACTCCTCAGTTCCTCCCGTTTACTTCCGTTAAGCTCCAACCAGACCCACTGAATCCCCTCTTCTTCTGTCACAACTCCGCTCTTCCACCAGCACTAGTCAGTCGCTCCGCACCGCTCTGCTCAATCATTCGTTCTGGACACATTCCCACAAAATATCGAAATGGTTGGCTAACCATCATTCCGGATGTAGTAGAATTCTTCATCAAAAACTAATTTATGAGGGCGTATACACTATCTATGTCACGCACTACATCAATATACAGTCCGAAATTCCGTGTATTTACTAGAACTACAGTAACCCCTGGTGTTGTAAAGAAATGATATTACGAATATATCTGTACATATAGCAATTCAAGAGCTGTTTGTCTATTAACTATTAAAATATCGATAATTCCTTTCAAGACCAGTGCAAATTTATGAAAATGTAAAAGTGGTTACGTTTCTCAAAATGAATCCTCCGGTTTTCAAACCTATCTTTTACAAGCAGAATTGTTTGGCACAAAGAGTTAAGCACAACTATGACGTTTTGCAGCTGTCAAAAAAATGAGAAAGGAAACAAAGTCACAAAGAACTTTGATATCAGCTACTGAAAATTAAATTTCCAACCAGAATTCTTCAGCTTTTATGATTTTCAACTAGTACACACTGAACATACTGGGATAAAAGTTTATACTCGAATTATGGAATTATGAAAGATAAATAGTGGGACGTAAGGTACACAGTATTTTCGAAAATATATGAGAAGCTACTAAGAATTATTCTACATTATTGTTTTGAAGACTTCAATAAGTGGAATACGAAATTAACAAACAAATATACCAAAGACACACAAGAAACTATCATCAGTTGGCATCATCAATTCAAATATTTACATACAATTACAGTTCAATAATTGGGACAGTATGCTGATTGACTGTTACTTCGGTGATTGTGTGAGAACCATTGTATTGAAAACTTTCGAAACGCGTATTGTTAGCATCAGTCCAAATTTTCTGTAACACAGCAAAACTTCAGCATGGTTTTAATCCATTATAACTGAAAATAGATTGTACGGATGCGACTTATATCACACTTTCGAAAGTCTATAGGAGAAGGATTATAACTGAAATCCTTGAAACACAAGTAGCAAAATGATCATGTTTAGCAATTGCTTAAAAACAACAACAAGGAAGACAAGTACTAAACATTAATTAACATATAAAAGATGTATCAATCAGATTTGGAAACTAACAGTTTCATTTTTTAACTGATCAGCTATTACGCGAATCCGTCTCTCATCACTGTCCCCATAGTCGTGTAACTGTAACTGCTCTGAACTACGAGACAAACCAGATGTCCCTTCAACAACAAATGCCAACCTATTAATTACCTGCTCTGAAAAATGAAGCTCTCTGTGATCTGCTTCATAATGAGACAAATTTTACAGTTCAACTTGACTTCCACCCACCCAATCAAAAACTAAATAACCATGTGTAGGTAGATTTCACATAAAAAACAAAAAAATATATGGACAATAAGTAAATCCTCATTTTGCACTATTAATCTTAATATGAATGAGGAATGATAAACTTCAATTATAGCAGAATTTACCTTGTCCATTAGAAACGACTTGTACTGATCCAGAACGACCTTCGAAAACTTCGGGTTTCTTCAGTTTTATCTATAAAAAAGCAACAGCTCTTGCTTCATCCTAATCAACTTCAAAATTTTAAATACATCTTTGAGAATTTTCAGCAGTTTATTCAACTTATTAGCATTATGTCTTCAATGGACAAGTGGATAAATACGAATTGCAACTTATTTTATTTTCTTACAACTCCTACTATCACCTCAACAAATTTTATATGAACAATTAACTGGATTACCTCAACTCTTTTTGCGTTTTTCTCTTCAACCAATTTGCTTTCATCATCTTTAATGGTCCTGAATATTTCAGCTTCCGATAATGCAGAATCCTTCCTAACTTTGTCAGCACCTGGTAAATTCAACATCGTCTCCGACGGTAGAATCTGCAATAGAAACAAAGTTCCTGGGTAATAATAAAACAAGAAAAGAAAAACGTGAAGGAGAAAACAAAGTGCAAAATTCAAAAAAGAAAAATGGACGCCTTAATGAAGAAAAAAGATCAAATTCCTGATTATTTGTGGGACATACGATGAAGAGTTTTTAATTCGTTCTTCAGTTATTATTTGCACTACAAATCTCAAGTGAGATTATTCACGATTTTGAACGAACCCTAAATTCCGCTTCCTCTTTCTTATCCAGCTCCTTCTCAGCTTCCATCTCCAGAGAATCTTCAGCTACTTGTTCTTCATCCGGCTTTTCTTCTTTCGGGTCTAACTTACTGTCATCATTATGCTTCACTTCATTGACTTTTGGAGTTGGGATTGAAGTCATCGGTACATCGCTTAAAATCTTTTTACTTTTTGGGCCTCGTTTTCGAGGCGTTTTTGAGGATTTACTGCTTTCTACAACAGGTCCACTTGGTATTGGTGTTCCGAGCCTTGAATGAATACTTGACTTTGGTGAAACTTCTGAGCCTTAAAAGAAACAACTAGTAGTATTTTAATTATTTGGAAAAGAGGAACAACCAAATTACATAATCTTGAAAATACTAGTAAACAGTTATGGAATATACCTTCTGAATGACTTTCACTAGCACCTTCATCATAACTGTGATTATCGTCATCTGAATCATCGGAATCTGAAATTTCTTTTACTTTTCGCTTCCTTCCACGATTTGACCTCCTGTTTCCCTTCCGAGTCCCACCTTTGAAATCGCTTGGTATGGAAAAACCTGATTCCGTGAACAGGTTTTCGTTCAAGATATTACTTGACGGTTCCCATGTGTTATGCCTAAGGATTGATTAATCATAAAATAATAAATTGAATTATTTTACGACAAAATTCAATTGAATATGTACGAGTGAAAAATGATATACGAATGCTGATATCTAAGTAGTGAGAAATTAACAAGCAAAGGCAACTTACTGGTTTGACCATCCTTTCCATTTGATCAGATATTCTGTTTTCCCCTTTAAAACCAAAACTTGAAGAAAAAGTTATCAGCACATTTTTTAATAATTTCAACGATTCAATTTTCAATCATAATGTTACTAGTCAAATATCAGCTTTTAAAAACTACGCCAGTAGCTCAATGAAGCGCTAAATAAGCTCAGTTTCAACGAAAATAAACTAGCTGCAATGATCTCAGAAAGCGTGTAATCTGAACGATTTATTAGAATCCAATACGATTACTGAAAAATCAGCATATGAAATTTAACAGAGATCATGACATGATTCGTTTCTCAAAAATGATTCATCATTTTAAATATTATTCTATGAAGATGTCTTTATAAATCCTAACGTACGTTTTCCTTTTTTTTTAGGGTAAAAATTTGGGTGCAAATTCGAGTTTTATGATTAGTTTGATAATGTTGATTAAAACATATTGGAAGATTAGAAAAAATATTTTTTTGAGTGTTTCATAAAAAAGCCACTACGAAATAATTACTGGGTTTATATTTTTGCAATAAAAATGCAGCAGGGATTTTCTGTATTGCAAATTTAAAATAATTCGCCCAACAATTTACAAAAACATTTTATATCAATTCATGATCACCTTGTGCATAGTATGCTTTATTATTCGGCTTATCAACGAGTGCATTTTTGTTAAATATTTTTTTATAGTCATAGGTCACAAATCTCGCAGAAATAGAAAACAGCAAAATGGGACTATTTCATTTAAAGTCATTTAAATAGTCATTTAAAGCTAAATTCTAAAGTGTCAGTAGCAATACGCGTTTTTATTAGATTTCCATTATCACGATCGATTCGTAAGATCACACTGACAGCCAAAGTAAGCTTAGAGACATTACAATGTTCAAAAAAAACATTCACTTACTTTCCTTGTTCGAGACTTCAGAATTTTTTCCGCTGCATAGACGTCCTGTCCGTCTAATGGATCCATAATTTATGCTGAAATAATTGCACACTTCAAGTAAGTTGCTGCATCCATAACAAACAAATGATTAGTAATTTCAAACCGCATAAAAAACGATTGTGAATAAAAAACTTTGAATATAGCCTGCAGAGAAAATAAACAGAACAGATAATATTTTATGCGAGCTTTTGGCAAATCACACAAAATGAATTTCTGCATCAATTTCTCAATCAACTCCCTTATTTCTTGCAACAGAGCATAATGCAATATCAAGCTTAGCATCACTATTTTTAATTAAGCAGCAACTAGTTTGACAATAGAACAACGCAGTAAAGCCTCTATACTTCCCATAATAGCACAACTATAATTTCACAATAGTAAAATGAGCTTTGAATTACAATGCATCAGTAATCAAGAAAAACGAAGTGCTAAACATCAATAACAGCCATCCCATTTATTTCTATTTAAACCGTAATAGTGCGAGAAGTAGGTGGAGTTGATCAAAATTTGAAATTGAATTGCAGAAGAGTGAAGCGACATATCAGATTTCAACTGGTAAGAGAAAACTGTGCAAGAAAGTATATGCAACCACTGATTATCAAATGGCAATCGTCACAGCCAAAGAGTACAACACACTCACACAATGATCTTATAAAGAAATAAGAAGACGCGTTTCTAATCGCGTTTTTCTATTTCCATAGTTACGCGTATACTTCTATCAATTCATAATATAAATACCACTTGCTGGCTGACAGCTATTTAGCATTTGTTACATATCATTCACTACATTCTTGATTCATCCAATCTGAGAGAAATCATCCCCTAAAGTATTCTCTACACTCTAAATGAAATCATTTCTACACGCCGATAATTAAGGTGTTTGGAATAAGAATGAAGTGAAGATTTCAAAAGGGCTTATATGTTTTCGCTTTTAAACTGTTTTACGAACTTCTGAGTGTTTGGTAGACATAACAGAAACCGTCTAACACATAATAATCGAAGGAAGATAATTCAAGAATGAAGAGAAACAGATAATCAGAAAATTGAGAATGAGAACTGTACGTGAAAAACTCTACATGAATTCCTTAATTAATGAATCATAATTGCAACATGAACCTGAAGCTTTTATGGTTGTGACCAGTGATTAACCCTATTCGTGCTATTCTCTGAAGAAGTGACATGGAGGACATTTATAATTGGTCTACATGTACACCGTGCTCTCAACTTCCAACATCTATCGCAAATTAACTTACAAGACACACATTTTCTTTCTGACGATATTTATCAGTAATTCGACTTGGGAAAAAATTATGGAAGCTTCTTGAAGAGAGATGACAGAAACGAATAAAACCATGACATTCCCTAAAATCATCTTAATAGTCAAAACTTTCTTCACTTATCGGAGACAAATTCCGCCAACCCACAAGGCAACCACTCTACTCACAAACAAGCTAATCAAGAACCGAGTCACAACTCCACTGAAGAATTGATTGAACCAGGTCGTCCTCCAGCGAGATAATGTTGTTTTCAGTCGTGAAATTGGATCGTTGTGAAAACGGAGAAGTATTTTGGAATTGAGCAAGGCATAGGTGCGTGTGTCGTGTGGTTGTGGCTTCGGTCGGATTTCTTATCGGTTGTAGACGTTCTACTCGGTCACTTCTCTAAACAAAATGAATTAGTATCTGGAGACGGATTTTTACTCTGTGATTACTCTGCGCTTCAAACTTCAAAAAAATGAAATATTCATAATTTCCTGTCCTACAGCTGCTGCCTTAATGTTGAACTATTAGATGAAAGACATTCATTCTGTTAGAACTATTAAATGAAAGACATTATCGACAAGCATTGCTCCTTCTCATCTTATTCCATCAGGTCGTTTGCAAAATAAAGCAAAGTGTTTTTTATCCGTCAGAATCTCCCGTAATCCGGAATTGCAGAAGGATATTCGTTTAGTGAGTTCTATATTTCATATATTTGCAGTATCTCTGTTTTATCATTAAGAGCAATTAGCATTAAGAGCACTTATTCAACTCTAACTGAAAAAATTATGGACGCCAAAAGGTGCAAATAATGAAGAAATTATAACTGAGATATTTGTAGTTTATACACACTTTCCAAATTTATCTTTAAATAACAAAGTGATGATTAGTGTAGTAATCATGGTAATAGTGACATATTTACGGCTAATTAAATAGAAATACAGCATAGTACTTGGTGACACAATGCGCAGAACATCTGTTGCATTGAATGAAAAGGTAAGGGAGGAGAAATAGATGAATCCCTCCTCTTCCCTACAGTTGAAATGATGAGATAGAAGTGAATAATGACCACTGCCTAATCAACATTCATTCCAACCGCTAATTATTGCTTATCCCTTCTTATTATTATCGTGACCACACAGAGATTACTGTGCTTTGTACTTCCGAATGAGCGGCCTGAATCAGTGGACACTGACTCTCATTTCAGGACCAGGAATGCATTAGGACATTTCCACTCCCATAAATCAGTCAATTTGCATAAATGACCGCCTGTATGACGAAGTAGAGGATACCTGTTAGTCTTTACATGACCAAGGCTTTTTGCCTTCCACTCAATTTTCAAAATTCATACCAAATAGTGACACCACTTAATTTCCATAGCGACAGTGGCGCCATCGCCTTGCACTTCTGTTCTCAGCCATATATAGATGGACGACCCCGCCATATCATAAATGTTGCACATACACCTCAAAGGTCAACGCTATTTCGGTACTGTTTATTAGCCTTCGTTTCTCGAAACTACCACTTTCGAACACTCACTGCGCTTCCTCACTCGATCGTATCCTATCACTAATAAATGTTACCTGTGCCAAAGTGTGCTCTTTTTATTTGACACTTCCCTGATTTTCTTGAGGTTCATTGTTTTTCATCAGCTGTCTGTGAACCGCTTCTCTCATCAGTCCTTCTATAATAGCGATTTCTACTTTCTCTGCAGTGTTTTTTTGAAATGTGCTCGAGATTGGCGGCCAGTACTCGCAGTATTGAGTACAACTCTACTGATTCTGACATCAGTATTTCAGATAAATGTCTATTATAAGATGTTATCAGAATGTTTAGAACGATATTTGTAACTGTCTATTCCATTGCACTAATTCAGCAAGAGAATATGATCTATTAGTATGAATTATTAATTTCGTTATTACTGACATTGTCATCATGTTGGTTAATGAACCGCTTGCAATAAAGAGGAAGTTTATTTTCAGAAGTACTAATTAATTATACAATTAACCTGAAGCATCTTTTCATTGCTAATGAACAGGTGTGATATCTGCAATATAAGTCAAAGTAAATCAACAGAACAGCTCTAAGATTGTGATAAAGGTAATCGACTTGTTGATCACTTCAAAGTTTTGGGGGCGGAATGATTTCGTCTTGTATTATTATTAAGAAAATGATAAACATTCATAACTGATGTAGCAAAAATTATAAATTGTCGGAAAAGAGTGAGTAAAAAAATTGAAACCTACTCAAGAATGCAAGAATAAACAGAAGAAAGAAGAAGAAAAAACAGTACAGCAGAGAAGATCAACATGGGAGGATGCTATGATTGATGGTTATGACTTTCTCAAACCATCCTCAACTCATTATTCATTTTATCCTTGTCATTTCTTTTAATTTCGATTTAATCATTAATCAAATCAATTTATCCATTCCTACTATTTCAAGACAAAATAAGAACTGTTATTAGTTATTAGAAAATCACAAGCTCGTATCGAAGTATTACCATCACCATCTGAGCAGAAATCAGCAAATACCGAAAAACGCTGCTTTCATCCTACGCAGAAATTACAGCTATGAAGTGATAAAAAACAGTGACAATAAACTTGAACATTATCTTTCCATCTAAATTAAAGTACAGAATTAGTCAAAGTAATAGATTGAATGGCTAATACTGCAAGGAAAGAAACTCCCGCGAAACCGCAAATGATTCATCTTTATGGTCATATCAGTTAATTTATCAACTTTAAATGGTAATGTATTGAAGAAGCGGAAAAGATAAATTAAGTGATAAAGTAAAAATTGCAGCAAACTTAGAAGCAAATAATTGGTTCCATCTGTTTCCAGTTTTTCATCTTTTCGATTTGATCAATCTATGAGTGATAGAGCAGGAGTCAACAGATTTGTCGCATTTCTTACGATTGCTTTCGACTTAGTTTCATTACTTCTGATGGATGGCTCTCCTCCTTATGTTGCGGTGATAAGTATTGTATACAAACTTCTTATTTCATTATATACATATATATATATATATATATAGGAAGATCAACAAGCCTCAACTTAAAAAATATAATATTGCTAATAATAGATATAAATTGATAATGAAGTTTCTAGGATTTCTTGAAATTTGACCTAGAAAAAACATCAGAATTAATCGATTTGCAGTTGCACCTTACATCGGCAACGACTGCAGTGTTTGTGATACTCATTTTGTTGTAAGTACAAATAGCATGTTGTCTCTTATTAAAAAAAAAACATTTACAGATCCTTTTATTATTTCCGTTGCAATAAACAATCAAAAATAAAGTGTAAAATAAAGCCAATTATCAATTAACAATACAGTGCTTGAGCTAATTAGATTTTGAATATCCAAATTAAATGTCACATCGTGATACTATTTTGATGATTTTTATTTGAGAAACTTTTCAAAGAAATCGAAAATAAATCTTCAAAAAAACCGCAATCGGAAATAGTGCGGTGAAAGTGCTGCGATGAACTCTACAACGAAGACATTTCGGTTTTGATAAGAAAGTTTGAAATATGCTTGAGAAGTTAAGCTAATATACAATTTATATTGCAGCTGTAATTGTTGATTGAAAAGTAATGTTACCAAAAATGTAAATGAATTATCAGTGCATGCTATGATTACGCTAATAAGGGATCTGCTAATAAAGGCTTAAGATCGGAATTCATTTTAGATTTCTTTTAAATCATACTAGTTTTTAGCTAGGAACACAAGTTGCCTGTTTTTTTTTTTAAAAAAGATAAGGAGGAAGCGGCAGTTTCTCTTAAATTTAGAACAATATTGAAATAGTATACAGTGTTCGGTTTTGTTGTTTACCCTTTTCCCTTGATAAATAACCGGTTCTGTAATAGAGATTTCGCTACAGAAATCTGTCGATATTCTATCACTCCAAATCATTTAGTAATCAATGCATATTAGAAATTTTCTAGAAAGAATAATGAAGAATGGACAGTTGAGAATTCATTGGAATGTTTGGAGATCAGCATTCCCTCAACATTTAATTATTCTCTTTCTTTCCCTCTCACTCTCCCTCTCTCTTCACCTTTCTTTCTCTTTTCTGTTTTTCTCCTTCCGCTTCTAAATAATCAAATGGAACAGAAAATTTAATAGCTCAAGCTGTATTTGTTTAATTCTTCTTGCACTTTTTTTTAAAGTAAACATAATTTAACTCATCTGCGTTGTACTTACAACCAATTAGTGGAAAGTTACTTCTGAATGCGTTTATATTTGCTTGCGAAAATGATATCATCGTTGGTCGAGTAGTAGCGATAGGTTATTTATCAGCTCACCTGCCGAGAAGAGAGACAAAATTACAGAAGAGGGGAAGGTCGATCTGAAATATTAGAGAGGTTCAATTTCTTTTGTCATCATTAATTCACTCGTAGTATGCAATACTTCAGTTCAGTCCTGTACCGCCATCAAAGAGCACAGTAAGCATCAAAAGATACAATACATGCTCTCATGCAATTTGCAGGTAAACATAAATTATGTTTGTGAGTCGAAAGAAACAAGAAGAGAACGACACAATTTATGCCCATTCCCAATTCGTTTTAAATGACTTTGTAAGTCGTTTTCATAATTTCAACTACTCTATCAGAAATGGAAGAGTGATGAATTGGTTTCAAAGTGCAGTCGAGTAAACCAATCAATCGGTAGGGCAATCCTCCAGGATGCGCGACTTCACGTACTGTACAGTAATGGTCTCTCTGTCTGTCTGTTTGTCTCCGAGAAGAGAAGAGCACCCCACTGAGACTGGAATGTCATTTACTTCATTCTTTTGCCATTCATCATTTGTTGAACTCACCGCACATATTCAAAATTCGTTCGGCTGACCCCGCGTGAGGAGAGATGAGAAGGCGCAATGTTGAGGTGCTGAGGAAGAGGAACAGGCCGTAATGCAGGAGGGAAGGGACCGCATAACACTTCCCATTACTGTAAGGAAGATGAAATGTGTTTCTCTTATTATTCTCAGTAACTTTTGTCAGCCATTGAAAGAGTTTCGACACATTAGTTAAATATGGTTGAATGAATTTCGATTCATACTTTAGAATTAACTTTCATAGACCTTTCAAATTCAGTCTAACTGAAGCATTGAAGCAGTAGTAATTATCAGACCATCGGACTAGTATTTGTGTAAAAATAGGGTGTGTCTCATTTAATCTCATTCAATAACCTTATCAGTAAAAAAAAAAAAACCTTTTTAGCAGTAACATTGGAATTACTGACAAGTGACAATGTGAAAGCCAATTATATGACAAACAGTTAACGGTCAGCCTTTCAGCAATTTCTTTTTCGAAAATAGCCAATCAGTGATTTTATCAAAACATGAACTGAAAAAATGACAAACCCGTAATGAAATTTTAAGTTAGTATGAAAATATTTGCAGCTTATTTAACTCTTATCGCCTTTCAAAAGCTATCCGTTTTACAACAGGTTTCAATCAATATAGGCCTATGAGTAAAGCATAAATAATTCCAAAAAACTTCCAGCGTTCCATAACGTTTCCATATCAGGACAAATGCATTGTGAGTACTTAGGGACAAGCATGTGATGAAGAAATCATGCTGCTTTCACTATCTTTGAGCCGGTTAACCTTTCATCGAATCAATAAAAGATCATGTTCATATAAATGACATGGTTGCGAGATCTTTCTCAGCATATTTAAAGGTAGGATTTAAGAAAGTACAAAAGTGAGATTTAAGTAAGCTAGAATTTTTAAAAAATGTTTTGTGTCTTTTCAGTAATTTTGCATCTTGCAGTAAAAATTTTGATCTGTTACAAAATGTTAGTGACAACCTCATCCTTTTCATTTTTTCAAGTAATAAAGTAAATTTTAATGTGCCCAATTGCTTTATTGATCGGGATGATTAAACACATTCTTGAATTCAATTGAATTAAGACAAAAACTTTGCTTAATCATTGATGAGTTAATTTTTTTTTTAATTCCACCATTTGTTTACCTTGTTGCTTACATGTATCACTAATATACTGGTAATAGATGAACATTTATAGAGACAGTTGGACAAATAAAAGTTCAGCGGAATACAGGATCGAAATGAAGCGATGATGCAGTCATACCAACTTGTTGCTACTTTGACTTTCTAGTAAGCATATGATTAATTTTGTTTTATAAATGACATTTCCATCACTTATTCCTGCTAATTTCATCATCACCAACTGCAGGCATTTTCATAAGCCAATTCCCATTCACTCGGCAAGATTCTATCAAGGAATTGTCTGGAGGGAGAAGAGCTAATTATGAATTAAAAAAATAATGTAATACAGTATCCACATTATAACATTTAATCATCATCATTAGCTACTCATCCTAAAATTTCACACTGCAATAGTTTACAAATAGTTTGCCTCCAAATTATACAGATATTGTCTTTCTAAGATTCATTTCACGTTATATAGTGAGG